ATTCACTTCCCAAAGTGGAGAGATTGAACATCTCTGATTTATGATGTCCTTCTTAATATATTCAAATGGTTTGCATCGCAATGAATTAGGGCACTTCATCAGAACGACCTACATGGAATCATTCCCAATGAAATTAGCAATTGTACTGAGCTTAGAGCACTGTAAGTAAAATTAGTTCAGTGCTTCATTAGAAATTTTTCTGTGGATGTTCCTTTTATTGTATTTTCTGCTCATCCTTTCCTTTTAATTCATGCTGACATGCTTCATTTGATTGTAATGATAGGTACTTGAGGGCTAATTATTTCCAAGGAGGTATCCCATCAGCTATTGGAAACCTTTCTTATTTACAAAAACTGTAAGGCCCTCTCTTTCTTTCTTCTTCCCCATTGTTTTGTCATTACTTGTTTGTAATGCTATGCATTGGTTTTTAGCTTTCTTAAGGAACTGTCTGTGGTTCATGTTTCAATTAAGCTCTTAACATAATTTTATTTTTCAACCGCATTTTAATTCCCATATTGGATTTTAATAAGTTTAAATACAGGGATTTATCAAGCAATTCATTAAAGGGTGCTATACCTTCTTCTATTGGCCGTCTTACACATTTGCAATTTATGTAAGTTCATTTAGCCTATAGCTCTGTGGCATTATGATATTGATAACCATAACTTTCGGATTCAATATATGCTGACCCTGTTTGTCTTAGGAACTTGTCGACTAATTTCTTTTCTGGTGAAATCCCTGACATTGGAGTACTCAACACCTTTGAGAGTAACACGTAAGTACTCTTGCCTGTTAAATTTTTGTGTCTTGGCTGATACGTTTTACCCTCTAGACTAATCGATATTTGCATTCTTTGATATTTGGTAATAGTAACGATTCATATTGTTCTAATTGGAACGTAGGGCCTACACAACATCGTATCAGGTCAAGTAGGTGGATAAGCTAATATGATCGCAAGCTTAAATTATGGTGTCAGTGTGTTCTAAAAATCATCATAGTTATGCAATGGTGCATGCTTTATTATAGAGTATTTGAATAGTCTAATTTGTAAGATAAAAATTCAAGCCTGAGTCTCATCAACCTTCTTACCTCTGTATGGAGATCAAATACAAAAAATACATTTTGTGGTTTATAATTTGTTGACCCTTAAGAGTCCATTATTGTGATTACACAGTTTTTAGGACAATGGACATGATAACGTTCATCATTTGTTAACTTTCTTATTATTTTGTATTTTTATCAATTCTTGTTAATTTGTTAACCTATTTGGCCCATGCACTAATTGTTGGAAGGTTGGTTTCATTGTCTGCGTTTGTGCTTATATTTATAAATTCATTGCACATGAATAGGTTTATTGGGAATTTAGATCTCTGTGGGAGACAAGTTCAAAAACCATGTCGGACATCACTTTGTTTCCCTGTGGTCCTACCACATTCTGAAAGTGATGAAGTTGTAGGCAAGTCAAACCCTACGATTCATATTTGTCAATACTATTTGACTTGTTAGATCTTATAACCAAATTAACATATTGAGCGATCATTGTCTGAATTTGTATGATGTAGTCCCACCAAAAGATCTTCACATTACGTGAAGCGGGTGCTAATTGGTGCAATATCAACAATGGGCCTTGCACTTGTCATAATCCTTTCATTACTCTGGATTTGTTTGCTATCAAAAAAGGAAAGACTTGCTACGAGAGACACAGAAGTCAAGAAACAAGTCAATCCAGAATCAAGTAGGAAGGGTGGTATTTCAAATTTGACAGTGTCCTATCCAGCAACAGTAAAAAAAATGACAATTAGATCTTTTTTATTTGTAACAGGCACAAAACTTATTACCTTCCATGGTGATCTTCCATACACATCATCTGAGATCATAGAAAAACTGGAGTCTCTTGATGAAGACGATGTGGTAGGGTCTGGAGGATTTGGTACTGTTTACCGAATGGTGATGAATGATTGTGGTACATTTGCTGTTAAGCGGATTGATAGAAGTCGTGAAGGGTCTGATCAAGGGTTTGAAAGGGAACTAGAGATCTTGGGTAGCATCAAGCACATAAATCTAGTAAACCTGCGTGGTTACTGCAGGCTCCCTTCTACCAAGCTTCTAATATATGATTATTTGGCCTCGGGCAGCTTAGATGATATTTTGCATGGTATGGTTCATTTTATAGGTACTATGTATCTTTTCCTTAACTTGAAATATGTAAAACTGCTCTCTTGGAGGAAGGACCCTTTGGCACTGATGAATGGGAAAATTTTGTGGGCAATTATGGAAGAATGCAAAATTTAGGTGGGAATCATAGCCTGTTATCCTTGTTATCTCAATATAACCTCTTCCAGAAGCCTGATGCTGATATAATGAAAAAGAATTTGGCAACATAAATGAACTTCTGTACAAGCTACGACTAACAATTCTATTAGGAAAATGAAATTCTCCCCTCCTGCTCTCTTTTCCCGTGGCTGAGTGTGTATGTGATTTACAGTAGCTGTCATTTATCAGCATCCTTAACAAGAAAGAAAAATGATCTATGATTTAGCCAATACTATATAGTCAAAAGTTTTCAACCAGAATTTTTGTTAGAATGAGTTGGCATTGTTAGTGACTCTTGGATGGGTGAGTGGTCCTCGTTACTTTTGCTTATCTAGTAACCACCTTTGAATCGTAAAAAATTCTTGTTGAATTCTATCAAAATTTTCTGGCTGGGTAGCATTATTCAAAAACTTAGAACTTTGGTCTATTATGATTTCATGATGACATGCCTTTCAGTTTTGCATTTTGCTAATTTTTGAATGAATCCTTTCTGCTTTAGAGAATACTGAACAATTTCTGAATTGGAGTACTCGCCTAAAGATAGCCTTTGGTGCTGCCCGTGGTTTAGCTTACTTGCACCATGACTGCTGCCCAAAAATTGTGCATCGTGACATAAAATCCAGCAACATCCTTCTTGATGAAAACATGGAGCCTCATGTCTCTGATTTTGGTCTTGCAAAGCTTTTGGTTGATGAAGATGCCCATGTTACAACAGTGGTTGCTGGCACATTTGGCTATTTGGCACCAGGTATGTATTGAGTTCCGCATAAGAGCAGGTCATCTGGTCACTCTTTTTTACAGTGTAAAATCACTAGGTCATAGAAATCTGCTGAGTGTGTCATTCTTTGGACTTCGATGTTTGATGATGTATTAGAGAATTAATTTCCTAGCTATAAATGTGCAGATAAATATTTTTGTCAAAAAATGTCATTGAATTATTCAATTAGAAGCATTCTAATTGTGAAAACAAAATTTAAGCTGGAGTTCGTTTCTGTTTAAATTACTTAGTTGGATGTAGCCTTCCTTTTCATTGTAATGTGCAGAACCTTTCTCTGTATTCAACATGTAAAGAGATTTAACACATGTTTTTATGTAGGGTTTTATTCTTTTCTAAATAGAGTCAGTTTAGAGATTTGAATAATTTTCATGAATTACAACCATTTTAATCTCATGAGAAAGAACGGATGATTGATGATTTTTGACTTACGTGTCAACACCAGAGTATCTACAAAGTGGGAGAGCCACTGAAAAGTCAGATGTGTACAGATTTGGAGTTCTATTGCTAGAACTTGTAACTGGAAAGAAACCTACAGACCCTTCCTTCGCCAAGAGAGGCCTAAATGTTGTTGGTTGGGTAAGCTTTAACTTATTCAATGCACTAGTCACACATGAACTTTTTTTTTCCCACTCATATTACAAAACCTAATAAAATGAGGTTTGGGTAATTATTTATAGATGAACACATTCCTGAGAGAAAACAGATTAGAAGATGTGGTAGACAAAAGATGCACTGATGCAGATTGGGGATCTGTTGAAGTAATTATTGAGCTAGCAGCAAGTTGCACAGATGCAAATGCAGATGATCGTCCATCAATGAACCAGGTATTACAGTTGCTGGAACAAGAGGTTATGTCTCCTTGCCCAAGTGATTTTTACGAGTCACATTCAGATCACTGTTAAATGAATCAAGCAATCCAATCCAAGATGTTGTCAATGTTTTTCAAGTGTTCCAGCCTCATTTTGTGGTTCTGTAAATTATTGTTCAAGCAAATGACATATGTGCAGCCACGTGTTTCTGCTGGTTTGGTTTTTGGATTACCTTTCATTGAAATGTCATCAATATGATTTTGGTTATTTCAAAATCAGTTTGTTTATAACAAAAGGAACAGGTTTTTATGGCATTCATTCATAAGAATCCTGCATGATTTAATGAACAAAAATCCTTAGTGATTCTTTGGCTAGAAAGGAATCACATACTATAATATCTTTTAGCTAATTGGATTATCATCTTCCTGAACAAGCAAGGGTAAATTCAATTCAGATTGTGTAATGACATCAGCTACTGGAAATTATTAAATTACGGCCTTGGGCTTGAATTTTGAAAGATGGCCTGTTTTTCTTTTGTAACTGGAATGGTATCTTCTAGATTTTCAAGGACGGTCACTTAGGGAGGGTTATACCGTATTTTCATCTCCATAGAGGACGAGTCAAAAGCAGTGTTCTCTTGCCATTGTAGTACTCTGCTGGCTGGTGATGCCCTTCGCTCAGGTCAATTTCAGAAAAAACAAACGCTACTATACAAAGTAGCAAGTAGTAATGAAGTTGAGGAATGTCCCTAGCCCTATCTATATTTAAAGAATAAATAACATTTTTGGTCCCCAACAAAAAATATGATCCCACTTTAGTCCCTTACAAAAATAAATTAATCTTGAGTTCTCTGACAAATTTAAAGTGTGGACCCATTTAGTTGAAATCGTGGTCCCTTACAAATTCAAAAAAGACCCACATTAGTCTCTCAAAAGGACTAAAAAGGATGCACTTTGAATTTCATAGGAACCAACTGACTAATTTATTTTTGTAAGGGACTAAAGTGGAGACCGTGTTTTTTGTTAGGGAGCAAAAATAGTATTTACTCATATTTAAAAGACCAACCATGCCTATTTCCAACGTCAATCAAACATTTACATCAAAAAATGGCAGAATTTACATCCACTAACAGTGGTCTTAGGTTAGGAGGCAAAATAGCCATAGTCACCGGAGGTGCCAACGCCGACCAAGGAGCTCGTATGGTGGTGATAGCTGACATCCAAGACGAGCCGGGTAATCAAGTGGTTGCGTCTATTGGTACCCACAGGTGCACCTACGTCCATTGCGACGTGACAGACGGAGATCAAGTTGAAAACCTCGTCCAATCAACGGTAAATGTTTACGGTCAACTCGACATCATGTTCAGCAACGCCGAGATCCTTAGTCCCTCCGATCAGACCGTGTCTGAACTCGACATGTCACAATTTGACCGTTTGTTCACGGTCAATGTCCGTGGAATGGCCACGTGCGTGAAACACTCGACGCGTGCCATGGTAGAGAGGCGCGTGAGGGGAAGCATTGTGTGCACGGTGAGTGTCGCTGCCAGCTGCGGTGGCCCAGAGTCGTCGAACTACGTGATGTCGAAGCACGCGATGTTGGGGCTGATGCGTTCGACGAGTGTGCAACTTGTGGTGCATGGGATAAGGGTGAACTGCGTGTCACCCAATGGGTTGGCAACACCGTTGATGTATAAAAAGATGGGGATGAGCAAGGAGAAGGTGAGAAAGGCATGTGGACAATACGCGAAGCTGCAAGGAGTGGTGCTCGCGCCAAAACACGTGGCAGAGGCAGTGTTATTTCTGGTCTCTAGTGACTCGGAGTTTATCACTGGCCTTGATCTCAGGGTGGATGGTGGCGTTAACTTCGGAACATAATTCCTGCATATTATTATTATTATTAAGCATCTGGTAGAGTATTTTCTTGTTTTATTATCTAAATAAAAAGTTAAGCAAGAATAAGATAATAAAAGAGATGTGGGACCAAACTCCTTTGGCACAGGTGGTAAGGAGTTTGGGCCCTTTAATCAGAGATTTTGAGTTCGAGCCCTAAAAATGGAAAAAAAAAAAAAATTGGACAGGATTGGCAATTCACTTGTAGAAGTTGTTGGAAAATATACATATATGGGTACTATGGTTGAAAGTGTTAAGGTAATAGTTGAAGGTGAGAAGGTTGTGAAAGACTTTCATGATAATTCATGGGATATTGTTGATGAAATTGAAAGACCTCACACCTATAGAACACAATAAGGCTGGTTGTTTACTTATGTCGAACTCAATTTAATGCATTTGTTTTTGTGTGTGTGTGTTTGTGTGGGCAAAGTTTAATTTGTGAAAGATTCGCTTAATGATAACTTATGGTAATGAAATTTTAACATTATAAATAAGTACATAGTAAACTACGATTGATAGTATTAGTAAGAATTTGATAGTACTTTGATAAGCCAGAACTAATGTTATTTTAAATTTGGCTATATTTTAGAGTACTTACTATCAAATCTTGATGGTACTATTTATAAAATTGTTGTTAACCGGCCTTAAATTTGATATTATGCCTATCGATTTCTTAATTTAATATGTATAGTAGTCATGAACTTTTTTTAAAATTATTGAAGATTTTTATTTCTATAAAAGTTAATATATTTTTTGGATATACTGATCGATAGAATTTTATAAAAATTAATATCATATGATATATTTGGAAGAATTATATAAATTCTTTATTAAAGAGTATTTTTGTCAAATATTTATTTTTATCCTTTCTAATATTATACAGTGCATTACCAAATACTGGATAATATTATCTTATACAATATCATGTCAAATGCTGATAGTATTAAAATTTAATTAAATCTTATACTATCAAGTCTTATCATATCCTATATACTAAACATGTCCTAATTATTGACTTAATACGGTTAAGTCCTTTAAAAAAATTCATCTATTATTAATTAGGTTTCTTCTCCGTCTAGTTTGACTATGCTCTTTGTGCGAGAGTGTAATTTTGTTTTTCTTAAAAGTGCAACAGTTCCTGACGAAAAATTATTGCTATTGGTAAGAGATGAACCACAATCATGCAATTGGTCAAGAAAATTGGAATCCTCCCTGTGGGACTCTGGATGATTCTGTAGACTTTTAAAGAAAGAAAAAAAAAATATCAAGGAATCCGAAAGAGACGATTTATTTATTTATTTTAATTAATCTTTATTTAAAAAAGTCAGTGTCCTTTTGTTCCAAAATCTTCGCTAATTTGATAATGCATCTAACCCCTATATAAAGTATATCTTCATTGCCATGGAGTAAATATTTCTTTACTAAAAGTGAAAAAAAAAGGGATCACTCAATTGCATTAGCCATCGTTATTTTTGTATAGGTAACGATTGATGACATAAAAATATAGTAAATTTAACCTTAAATAATAAAAAGAAATTAAGAAAAGAAAGCGGTGATTGGATGAAAAAAATATAAACCTTTTAAGTGGTCCAAAATCGTATAGCAATATTACAACAAAAGGTTCATGATAAAATAGTGACAAGGAAATATACATTAGAGAGGAGATATGAGCTTAGGACAAAAATCTCCGGACAGTGATCGTACTGCCAGAAATTTCGAAATTATTTGCCGAAATGTCATCATATGGAGAAAACAATTTGCCAAATTGCCACACACTGAAACTTGCTAAAACTTCCAGCGAATTTGGTTATGCTATGTGACATGTTTTTTGATGCCATCAAACTCGCTATCAGTTGCAGCAAGTTTCGTGATCAAATCAAATCAATATGAGGTGCAATAGAAAAAGAGACACATGACACGTTTAGGCAAACTCACTGGGACTTGCAGCGACTATGGTTTGACATAAATTTTTGATAATTTTACTGTAAAATTTTAAAAAATCATAATTTTTGATTCGAGTGTTCAAATTTTGATTTTTTTATTTTACATAACTTTTCGAAATGCAAATTCCTGGAGAGAATTTGGTCAAAAAGTTTTTCCAAAAAATACTTCCAGTTTGACATATTTTATCTTTGTGAATGATATTATTTACATTTTTATTTTCCAACACTAACAAATAATTCTTCGAAAATTTGTCAGTGTGTAGATCTCGAAAAGTTAACGTGGAATAAAAAAACTATTTGATTCGGATACGCGAGTCAAAAATTATGCCTTCCAAAATTTTACGATAAAATTATCAAAATTTTGTGCCACATGTCAAACTATAGTTGCTGCAAGTCCCCATAGTTTGCCTAAACATGCCACATGTCCCTTTTTCTGTAGCATCTCTTACCAAATTGATCACAAAACTCGTTGCAATTGATAACGAGTTTGATGGCCTCTAAAAACGTGCCACGTGACATAATCAAACTCGCTGAAAGTTATGATGATATTGGCTGCCTGGCAAGTTATAAACTTATTTCCTCTACATGGCATTTTGACAAATATTTTCCAAAATGGTTGCGCAGTGGGCATTGTCCCAAAAATTTCATAGTGTGGCAGGGCTAAATACTTGAATGTCTAAAACTGTTTTATTATTCATTAAAAAATGTAACTTATAATTTCTTAAACAAATTATTCGATGGTTACAACTTATTACCATTTATTTTTTAGATGAACATTGTTGATTTAATATTGTAATACAAGATAATATAAAACTTCAATGATTTGAATATTTTAAGTAATATTTGGTAAAGGTGTTAAAACGAAATATACTATAATATATGACCTTACTGTGTGGTTGGTCAATTTCAGATAAAAAAATGCTAGAGTACAAAAGCAAGTTGCAAGCGTGGTAGGTAACGAATGGAAGGTGAGGAGGAATGGCCTGTCCCTACTTGTATTTAAATGACCAATCTTTCAGATTAACAACGTGATTCTAACATTTTACATCGAAAAATGGCAGAATCTTCATCCACTAACAGCGGTCTCAGGTTAGCTGGCAAAGTTGCCATAGTCACCGGAGGAGCCAGTGGCATCGGCGAAGCGACGGCGCGTGTCTTTGCCGACCAAGGCGCGCGTATGGTGGTGATCGCTGACATCCAAGATGAGCTGGGCAATCAAGTGGTTGCATCCATAGGCACCCACAGGTGTACCTACGTCCACTGTGACGTGGCAGACGAAGATCAAGTCCAAAACCTCGTCCAATCAACGGTGAATATTTACGAAAAACTCGACATCATGTTCAGCAACGCCGGTATCCTTAGTCCCTCCGATCAGACCGTGTCTGAACTCGACATGTCCCAATTTGACCGTTTGTTCTCGGTCAACGTTCGGGGAATGGCTACGTGCGTGAAACACGCGGCGCGTGCTATGGTGGAGAGGCGCGTGAGGGGAAGCATAGTGTGCACAGCGAGTGTCTCTGCCAACCACGGTGGGTTGAAGTCAACGGACTATACAATGTCGAAGCACGCGGTGTTGGGGTTGATGCGTTCGTCGAGTGTGCAGCTTGCTGTGCATGGGATAAGGGTCAACTGCGTCTCACCCAACGGGTTGGTAACACCGTTGACGTGTAAAAAAGGGGTGAGCGAGGAGAAGGTGAAAGAGGCTTATGCGCAATACGCGAGGCTGCAAGGAGTGGTGCTCACGCCCAAACACGTGGCAGACGCAGTGTTGTTTCTGGTCTCTAATGAGTCCGAGTTTGTCACTGGCCTTGATCTTAGGGTGGATGGTTGCTTTAAATTTTAATCACTGAAGATGATTCTTGCAGAATAATAATAATAATAATTATTTAGTATCTACCGGGAAAGTGTGTTTTTCCTGTTTTGTTATCTAAATAATAAGTTAGGTAAGAATAATATAATAAAACAGATATGTAAATAACAACATATTCCGGTGCAATGTCGTTAGTTTTCGTATTTGAAATAAAGGATTTGACGCCTGAAATAAGAAACTTGATGTGACAAAGTATAAAAAACAAAAAACAACAGCTTTGTTTTGTTTTATTGTTATTGTTTTGGTATAAACTTATTCCGGAGTTGGATCTCAATTAGGCTGAGTATCAAATGGGCGAATTTTGATATCGACTTGTCCCCAACCCGTGTTGATGTGGGTATTTGTCTTGCCTTATCAATCGGTCAATCCTTTCCCATTATCTGTGTTTGCTCTGCACGATCCTATCACACTCAAAGAATTACTATGTAGATGCACTATTCTCATAATTGTCACATTACTCTCACATCCATCGTTATATCACTCACATCCAGAGCTCTCAATTCCTCTCACTCTGTAAGTGTCCCCATATTCGCCTCTAATAACGAACGGTTAGTTTAGGATTTTGATTATCTCTACGTCAGACATCTTCATCATGTTCTCAACATCAAAATATCAATATTCATCAATTGCGCTAGACCAATGCTTTCAAAAATGAGTTAATGAGTTTTTATGAGAAACAGAAAGGGTGGTAGAAATGTAAATCGTAAAAATAACACGTAAATTTTATATCACTTAAGATCATGATACAAAATTATATATACATATATGTAAAAAACAAATCACATAAGTCAACTAAAAATTCAATAAATAACTTTATATTTAAAATATGAAAAAATATTTTTCTCATGTTACATGACAATTCAATTCTCATGTTGTGACCCTTCGATGATCTGCGTGCAAAGCTTTTCTTTTTCTTCTTTTAATAAATATGGGGCCACCACTAGTTGAGTCATAACATGAGAATTCAATTCTCATGCAACATAAGAAAATCAAACCCCTTAAAATATATAAATCACATAACTATATAAGACAAAAGTCTAAAAGCATAAAAAGATAAATTTGAGTTAAAAAAATGAAAAAAAAGGATTTTTTTAAAAAAAATTGAGTTTAAATAAACATTTAAAAACTTGCGTTTCTATCGTTTTTACATTTCTATTCGATATTTTTATCCA